AGTCCTTTCCTTTCTTTTCTATTTTTTCATTCAAAAACAAAGTATTAAGGGTCAACAAGAAGACTCAGTGGGTAAGACCATGCATGGTGGCACATTCTTTTAGTTCCAGCATTCAGGAGGCAGAGGCAGCGGTATCTTTGTGCACTCAATGCCAGCCTAATTTACACAGTGAGATCCAGGACAAAGCCAGAGCTACATAATGGGACCCTGTCTCAGAACAAAACAAAACCCAAAACAACACAATAAAGACTTTGTGGGGAAAGGCACTTGCCACTAAATCTAATAACCTGAGTCTGATACTCAGAAACCACACGGTAGAAGGAGAGAGCCAATTTCCCACAGCTGTACTCCATCCTACACATGTGCATACACACACAAGAAAACTAAGTGTTTAAAAAAATTGTAAGATTAGTTAATAGGGATTGAAGCAGTAACTCTCTGTAGAATATGTGCCCAGTGTTCAGGGAGAACCTCAGCTCCAATCAGTCCACCAAGGTACTACTTCTGCTGCTAAACCCTGACAGTCACTGTTTACTAAAGCTTCTGGACGAATAGAGCTAACGTCCAAGTAAGAGTTGGTGCTGAAGAGAAGATTTTACTAACTATATATACTGTAGGCTTATTCATTCTACAACACTATCATCTTTAAATCTCTTTTGGGTCCCAGCCCCAGGTTACACGCTTGGCAATTTAAACAGAGATAGTAGACTGTAAGTCTGGTTGTTTAGACAGATAGGAGATTTAAAGTATAGGTACTGCCAGAATTATTTCTTAAGTAAACCAGTATTGTTCTTTTTACCTGGGGTCATCTTGCCCACCTGACAGAATTATGTTTTTATGTACCAGGCACTGTTCCCAGTTCCTAGAACTAGAAACTACAATAAACAGACAATGAGACAGGTCATCTTTCTAGGCACTAATATTCTAATCAAATCAAATAATACAAGAAGATTGATTTCAGAGAGCGATAAATGATAGACTTTAGGGCCCTGGCTGATGTAAGTGGCAGAGTTTGAATCTCAGTCGGAATAGTTCTGGAAGCTAGACCATGACAAGATAAAGCAAAAGGATCGATAATGAACGTAAGTATCTGGGGGAAGGGAAGAAGACTGGACAGATACCTCAAGGTTATGAACACTTGCTGCTCTTGCAGAAGAACCCAGTTTAGGTTCCTAGTACCCACACAGCAGCTCACATTCATGTACTGGGAACTCTGTGTCCAGGGATTCTAATGCCTTCTTTGACCTCTTTAGACACCAGGTATGTGCTTGGTACATATACATACTCATCCATATAAAATATATTAATGCTTTAAAAGAAATGTAAATAATTAGAAACTAAACATTTATGAACACACAGAGCTAAATCCTATATTTGAGAGATGGTGACAAGAGGGTCCAGGACTCAAGGACATCTTCCAGAATGACATATCAAGCCTGTGGCCAACTTGGGCAACATGAGACTTTTGTTTTTAATTTTTTTTTTTTTTTTTTTTTTTTTTAGTTCTGTCTTAATTTGTTTTCCTGTTGGGATAAAACACTCTGATGAAAAACAATTTCAAGAATAAAAGCTTTATTCTGGCTCACAGTTCAAGCATACAAGTCATCATGAAGAAGAAATCAGGTGATCAGAAGCTTGAAGCAGCTTATCATATGGTGTCCAGGCATGGTGGTACATACCTTTAGTTGGAAGAAGGAAGAGTCACTCTTCTTGCCTGTTTGCACTTACTTGCCAGCACATCTGTTGGAACCTACTTCTACAGAAGACCAGCTGAAACAACTAGCCTCGTGAGACTGAGCAACTACTAGATTCTTGGACTTCCCATTCACAGCTGACCATTGTTGGGTTAGTTGGACTACAGACTAAAAGTCATCACAATAACTTCCCTCAATATAGAGAGACATTCCAGAAGTTCTGTGACTCTAGAGAACCCTAATCCATATGGCATCTATAATCAGGAACAGAGAGGTGAATGCATGTCAGTCCCACAGGATCCTAGCTGTGGAACACCTAAAGGTCTATTTCTAGGTGATTCTAGATGCTATAAGTGTTTTGTTTCACATCCCAGGGTCGAGGGACTGAGGTGCATATTTTACATATTGACAGACTTGGCTTTGGGTTCTCCTAGCATCCCTCACTGGCATACCCTCCCCTCAACCTTGAACTTCCCAGCCCAGGACCTGGGCTGCCCTTTCTCAAGAGGCTTGTCCCCATATAATCCAGACAGTTTGGGGTCTACCCTCTTTCTCCTCCTTCTTCCTCTTCTTCTCTCTTCTTTCTTCTTCTCTTTCCTCCTCTTCTCTTTCCTTTTCTTCTCTGAGCACACACCCTTTCTTTCTTTCTTTCTTTCTTTCTTTCTTTCTTTCTTTCTTTCTT